TAGAGTAGAGTAGAGTAGAGTAGAGTAGAGTAGAGTAGAGTAGAGTAGAGTAGAACAGAACAGAACAGAACAGGGTTGGAAGGGAACTCTACTACCCAAAATACCTTATACCATCCCAGACAAATGACTGTCCAAATTTAAAAAAAACAAAACTCCAGTGATGGAGCACACACAACTCTGGGAGGCAAATTGCTTCATTCATTAATTGTTCTCATGTCAGGACATTTCTTCTTAGTTTCAGGTATGACCTCTCTTTAATGAGCTTCCACCCACTGTTTCTTGTTCTACCCACAGATGCTATAAGTTGACCGACCCTCTCTTCTCTGTGACAGCCCCTCAATATTGTAAGACAACTATCATGTCACCCTTCTCTTCATAAACTAGTTCAAACTATAATTACAATAAGCTGTTGATCCTGGATAGTTGGGTCTCTGACTTTGAGATAATGCCTCCTTCTTCATCATATCCTTTTATTTCAGGGTGTTTTTTGTGTTTTGGAGTTTACCCTTAGTTTTACACAAGTGTAGTGATGTTAACAGGTTAGAGGGGGAAAAAAGAAATGGGAGTTCCATCTCTGCCCTACTTTTAATTCAGTTTCCCAGTATTCCAAAGGCAGTACTAAGGAAGGAGGAAGGGCTAAGGTTGAAACAGGTGCACAGACTTGCATCATAGCAACACTGGCTAAAATACTGTAGTTCTTTCCTGCTGGTTTGAACTCTTTCCTAATGGAGGTTAATCAGAATGGGTTAGTACTATTTTTGGACTAAACTCCAATATCTAGATTTCTCCATGGAGGAGTTCCTACTGGGGCTATGAGTGTGGACTCAGTGCATTTATTAAAGAGCATAAAATTTAACCAGACCTGTCTGTTCTACCCAATAATGTTTTCTTGAGCAGTCAGGCCTATCTCCATAAACCAGCAAGACGTTTATATAACTATTTCTAAATTTTGGAGAGAACTAACTCTAGCATACTGTAACACCATTCTGGTTAGCAGTTCTGGAGATCTGATACAAAAAAGTCCCATATGATTTGATATTGTGCCTCTGTGGAAAGGGGCCACTAAAATCACTGCTCATACCCTATTATATTGTACCCTAGTCCAGGGGTTGCCAACCTTTTGGACCTCAGGGACGACCAAACTCATAATTTTAAATCCCAGGGACCACTAACTGGTTCTGTGGGTGTGGCCTAATTTGTGGGTGCGGCTTGGTGGTCATGTGACTGGCTGGGCATGGCTTGTATGTAAATATTATAAATATTGCAATTTTCTATAAAAAAAGAGCAACTTTTACCCAAAATCAGACAAAGGCAGGCAGATTGAGTTGCTCATAGAATCACAGAATCATACAGTGATCTATTTATCTGCCATCGACTAGCTCAGTCTGTCACATAAAATTTGCTTGCAAGCAAACTCACAAAATTAACTCAAAACACACCATGTATGTAAATATTGATTTTTTTATAAAAAAGAGAAATTTTTACCCAAAATCAGGCAAAGCAGGCAGATTGAGTTGCTCACAGAATCATTCAGTGATCTATCTATCCGCCATTGGTCTCTTAAACTTGCTTGCCATGAGTCTGCACTGAATTTGCTTGCAAGCAAACTTTCAGTCCTAAGGGAGGTTCGGCTGTGCTTAAAAGCAGAGCCGAAGATCTAAAGACTAGCTAGAAAGCAAGAAGTCTAACCATTTCCTGCTTCCTATCTAATCTAAATCTGGAACAGCAGAACAAAGGAAAAATAGCAACTTAGCAGGCAAGTTTGCTGGATAAGGAGTGAGTGGGCGGGGACGGTTCACGCAGACCATGTGGGTGGCGCAGACTTGTGTTTCTGCACAGCCTGGATTAATTGCTTGGGGGTGTGTGCTCTGGGGGTGAGATTTCTCTGCGGCCCACCAAAATTTTCTCATGGCCCACCAGTTGGCGACCACTGCCCTAGTCTATAACATCCTGCCTGATAAAATACCTGGGAAATTCTCATGTCTTTTATGTAAAGCTGTTATTATCAGATCAGTATGAAACAGTCTACTTGATCATAGCTACATTCTGCTATACTGTCTGTAAAATTAGGCAAACTTTGGCTGCCCATTGATGATCTCATCAGTAACTGGAATATATTAATATGTCTTGTTCTGTTTCATTTCATTTTAATGTTTTAATTTTTAATTCTGGACTATGATCATAATAAAATTAATAATCAATTAAGTCTTCAAGATTTAAAACGAGATTCCATCCATAGTAAGTAGTTCTTAGTGCTTGCTTATTTAATTCTTCTAATGAACTTCTTCCAATGATATGTTGTGTTATTACTGATAGGACTACTGTGCTGCTTTTATATTATTCTGATTCTTGGAATCTCTAGCCTTAAGTATCTCATGGTCAAAGCATGGATGAGGTATGTTGAATAGGCCAGTTGTTCTTTTGTTGGAAAATTATTGGAATAATTGAAGTAATAATAGTTTTGAATTGTGGAAGCCAGTTTGATGTTGTGGTTAAGGCATCAGGCTATAAACGGGGAGACCATCCATTCTAGTCCTGCCTTAGGTACAAAGCCAGCTGCATGACTTGAGACAGTCACTTTTTCTCAGCCAAAGAAGGAGGCGATGATAACCCTGCCAAGGAAATTGCAGGAACATGTCCAGGAATCCAACATGATTGAACAGAAGAAGAAAAAAACAACTGAATGGATGGGGAAAGGGATATGACTTTCATTGCTTAGCTGAGGAAAAAGTTAACTGAAATTCCAAACAAGATCTATTTAAATGATGCACTTACAAAGAGCCACAGTTTTTCTTTATAAGGTGTACTGAATTTGCACTACTACTACATAACATGAGGGTGAAGACTTTACTGAGTTTTCTCTTTATTTAATATTTTTTGAGCTTCGAGGACATGGAATTTAAAATGGGGGAAAGGCAATATCAAGAATTTTAACTGTCTAAGAAATTCTCAATGTTGCAGTTAAAACAACGTTCTGCCTTCCATCTATATTTCAATTGTCACATTATCCAACCAATCCAAGCAAGGTAAAGGCAATGTCAGTGAGTCATATCCTGATTACATGTACAAGTCAAATGGATCAAATGATCCAACTATCAGAAAATAGTCTGGAATAATTCCTGAATTATACTTTAACTATTTTCATTATCTTGAATAAAAATGAAAAGTTATATTTTGAATAGTACTTCTATGTGTGGACCCAGGGCAGTTGCTTACATGCTTTGCAAAAATCTCATTTTAATTTCCCATTATTTAAGAGACTTTTTAGCATTATCAAAAAGCAGAAATATACAGTCTTCTAGCCTCTGTAGGTAAGATGTCACCACTAACTGTTCTCATAAAGATAAGGAAGGAAATGGCCAATTTTGCTTACCCCAATGGTTCCAAAGCTTTTAGGTTTTGTTTTAATGTTTTGCCTACATAGTCGTCTCCACAGCCATCTTAATAAATACCATTGAGATTTTGGACTTGGTATGACATTGAAAGGCGCAGGCAAAGTTCCTCCTTCTTCAAAGTAACTCATCCATAGCTTTGTACGAGCAAATTTCCATTCGATATCTGCATGATCCTAAATATATAAAACATGAAAACACATTGTTGTAGGTTTTTAGAAAGATAACACTATTAGAAATAAAGATAGCAGAAGAATTGAAATCCAACATTCATCTATATTTATTTTTTACTGCCCATCACCTTTTCTTATGCTTAAAACCTGCTATGTTTTAAAGTGAAATGATAATAATGAATCAACAGATGGATAAAAATACAAACTCTAGTCTAAATGTCTGATTGATCATGTGACTAACCATAATACTAATAAGACAAAGGAAATACTGAGTTAAACTAAATATGTATTTTTACAATGCAGTTTTTGTGATTTTTTTTCTATTTAATGTATATAATTGTCAACTCATGAAGCTTCCTTGCCCTGCTCCTGAGTTGCCATAGGCAGTGGGGATGGGAAATTGCGGCTCACAGCTGCACCAAGGCATTTACTCCTCAGTCATAATGTCAGCCTTCAAGATTTCCTTCCTTTGCTTTGCAACTTTCGGCTGTAATAAGTAAGCGGGGGAGAGAAGGGGAGACATAGTTATGGGAAGTGAGATAGATAGATAGATAGAAAGATAGATAGATAGATAGAGATAGATATAGATATAGATAGATATATAGATATATAGTTATGTGTGTGATTTACGTGCTCATTTTCTCAGATTCAGAATTCCTTTGATGCTACCACTTGATTTCCAATAAAAGATATCTTTCCTCTAATTAATGGAGTCTAAGTGTTTCTTTCTTGGATTTTGAATGGAGCACCAGCTGACATTATTCTGAATCTGAGAAAATGAGAAAAAGATGCATTCTGGCTGAGCAAGTCAAGGCCATCTCCGGGGATACCAGCAATGCCTAGAGAGAGTGACTTCTACAACCCGCGAAATTACCTTGTTGGGGAATGTGACTCGGTGACATGCTTTGGGGGGAGGGTCAGAGGCAAGGCGTAAAGGGGGTGAAGTCAAAGTTGGCTTCAACTAGGTACTGCTGACATGGTGCTACTAATAAATGATTGGATTTTTATTGCCAGATGGCTTGAGACTCTTAATTGCATTAAGGCACTGGTTGGAACCCTGACATCAAGCCAACTCTCCCAAAACTAATTAAATGTCAACTCATAAAACATTTCTATGGCCATTTTATAGTTGCCAACAGAAAGGGGGGAGGAGTTTGAAAGAACAGTGCAACTGTTTGGAATTGAAAGTGCATTCCATTCATATTTTGCAGAGATTGTAACTAGGCGACTCAAGTTTCTGCCGCGCAAATTGGAGAACATGATTGATGACTTTTGACTATGGATGTGTTTCATTGGAGAATATGAATTATGATCCACCCAGAGGGGTGGGGGAAAACCAGGGTCAAGGGTGACAGTGAATTACATGTCTCAGAATCAGCTACATCCAGGTCATGCTGACATGTTAACTCCCAATAAATCCTTTGAAGTTTTGGAAGTTTGGCTTGAAACTCATGATTTAATTGGAGTAACTGCCGGAATCCTGATAGCTAGCCAATTCTCATAATTAATTACCATTACCAGGGTGCCCAGCCTCTTCTCCAGCACAACGATTGGAGAATCCATGGATGAGTTGACACATGCCTTTCTGCCCGGAGACTGAGTCCTTAATCTTTTATCACACCCCTCTGTCACTGTCACTTTCCCCAGTTCACAACTCAGTCTTGCCCCATGGGGATGTGGCAAAAGATTGGCTTGCAAATCTTTGGGTAGAAATGCTGGAATTTCCAATGCGATAGTTTGTGCTGGCAAGTTATAGTGCTATGGAAGCTTTCTTTTGTTTTTTTGTCTGTTTCATCGACCGAAGCAGCTGTTTCTTTTGTAGCCAAGCCTCACTGACTCAAGGGGAGTAATCTCCCGCATGAGGGAACCCACTGCTCACCTAAGGCACTGCTAGCCCAGGTGCCACTCTTTGAAGCACCACAACTGCTTCTCAGCTGTTTTTCAGAAATTTTATCTATTCCGACATTGCGGCTTTTGCGGCTTCATTGTATTTTACCATCTGAAGCGAGCGCATTAGTTGGGAAGCCCCTTAGGACTTTTCAGCTGTCAAACTATCTGAGCAGTTTTCCTGGATTTAGACAGCTTTAGGAGAGCTGTGGCTACAGGAGGAGTGGGCTGGCTACCCCAATTGCTGGTATTGCCGCCACACAGCCTAGCCCTAATTAGCCCCATATTTAAAAGGGAGCAATTGCCAACAAGAGAGCAACTGCCATCCAAAAAGATCAAGGCGCAGCTCATGTTTATTGTAGTGCTAGTGCAAAATTTCTAGAGCATGTTGGATGGGATAAACTGGAACAGGAATCCAGCAATTATATTATTATTGACACCCAAATAGTCCCTAAAGATGAATTAAGTAAACCACGAATAACCATTAAAGAGGAAGAACAGGCACAGGAAGAAGTAGTAGAACAGGCACAGGAGGAGGTAGGAGAACAGGAGCAGATGGCACAGGTGAGTCCACCAGTAAGCCCTGTATTACCAAGACATTCAACCCGAGTAACACAACCACCTGATAGATATCAGGCTGGTGTTGTACATCAAGTGAATACAGTTCCAAGTAATTATAGTGAACTAAAAATGTATCCTGCTAAGGATCAGGCTGCTTGGCAGAAAGCAATGGATAAGGAACTGGAATCATTAAAAAAGTTAGAGATATATGAAAATGTTTGTAACTTGAATTTTTAACAATTCTGCCAGTTCTTCTCTTTGTCTCAGCAACATATTCTTTGACAAAATCTTTGTTTTATCTTTGTTTATTTTCAAACCGGCCACCTCCCCATATGCCTCTATCTTTTCCAACAGCTTCAAGGCTGTTTCTATAGGGTCTTCCAGGATAAAGACTAGGTCATCTGCAAAAGCTTGTAATTTAAATTCTTCCTTTTTAATTTTCATTCCTTTTATAGTTTTATCTTCTCTGATATTTCTATTCAACACTTCCAAAGTCAATACAAATAACAAGGGAGAAAGAGGGCAACCTTGTCTTGTGCCTTTTCTTATATTAATAGGATCTGTGAGTTCTCCCTCCATCATTACCTTAGCTGTTTGTTCATTGTAAATTGCTTCTATTGCTTGAATAAATCTTCTAGCAAAGCCCATCTGTTCCATTAAAAGTAACATAAATCTCCAATTTACGTTATCAAATGCCTTTTGAGCATCTAAAAATATCAAAGCCATCTGCTTTTCAGGATGCGCCTCATAATATTCCAAGGTGTCCAGAATTACTCTCATATTGTCTCTAATTTGTCGCTTTGGCAAAAATCCATTTTGATCTGAGTGGATAAAGTTATTCAGATATTTTTTAAGTCTTTCTGCTAATATTGAAGCAAAAATTTTATAATCTGCATTTAATAAGGAAATCGGTCTATAATTCTTGATTTGAAGTAGGTCCGCCTCCTCTTTTGGAATAAGTGTAATGTAAGCCTCTGACCATGTTTTAGGTATTATCTTTTTTAACATAACTTCATTCATAACTTCTAACAGTGGAATACACAATGATTCTTGAAAGGTTTTATAAAATTCTACAGGAAATCCATCTGGACCTGGTGCCTTTCCATTATTTTGTTTCTTAAGTGCTTGGCTTAACTCCATCATTGTTATATTGCTTCCTAACATTTCCTCAATCTCTTTAGGTATCTTAGGTAAATTTGCATTCTGCAAGTATTGTTTAACTTTCTCCTCATCAATGTCTTCTTTCTTATACAAATGTTTGTAAAAGTCATAAATAATTTCTTTTTTCTCTTTGCTGCCATGACAAGTTTTACCTTGGTCATCTATTAACTGCAATATTTTCCTCGACTCTTTCTCCTTTCTCAGCTTATATGCTAGCCATCTACCTGGCTTATTTGCATCTTCAAAATAATTCTGTTTAGCACTCCTAATTTTCTGTGCCAGTTCTTCTTTGTCTATTAAGTCCATTTTATGTTTAGTTATATCCAGTTTCAATTTAACGTCTATTTTCTGTGGCATTTTCTGCAGTTCTTTTTCGAGTCTTTTATATTCATCCTCCAAGGCTTTGAAAGCTTGCCTTTTCCTAATATTCTTTTTTCTTGTATAGTCTATTATCAAGCCTCTGGCATAAGCCTTCATTGTATCCCAAACATTCTGTATTGAAGTGTCTTCTTTTCTATTTTCTTTAAAGAAAAAGGCCAGTTCTTTCTCCATCCATTGTGTAAATTATTTCTCCTTTAAAATAGTATTGTTTAACGTCCATCTCGATCTTTTTTTTTGTCCCTTCCATTTAATTGTCAATGGGTTATGATCCGCCCAAGTACTTGTTTCAATATTTACTTCTTGAACGCTAGATATTAAGTCTGTTGAGATCCAAATCATATCAAGTCTGGACCATGATAAATGTCTATTTGAATAGAAAGTATATTGCTTAAGTTTAACATTTCTTTCTCTCCATATGTCTTTTAAAGTTAATTCCTCTGTCATTTTAAAAAAAGATTTAGGAAGAGTTTTTCTATTATACTTTGCTGCTGTTGCAATATAATCAAGTTTATTATCCACAATTCCATTAAAGTCTCCCATCATAATTATATTAGCATAGTCCAGTCCAGCCATCTTGGTATGTAATTTTTTATAGAATTCTTCCTGTTTATCATTCGGGGCATAAATTGCAGTCAAAAGTATCTTTCTATTATTGTCCATTATTTCCACCATTAATATTCTCCCATCATCATCTGTATAAATCATTTTTGCTGGAATAACCTCTTTAATATATAAGACCACCCCTCTTTTCTTACATTGAGTCAAAGAGGTAAACAATTTCCCTAATTTTGGTTGTAATAACAATTGTTCATGTTGCTTTTTAATATGTACTTCTTGTAGACAAATTATATCAAACTTTAGTTTCCTTAATTTATGGAAAATCTTCCTTCTCTTAGCAGCTGAATTCAGTCCATTTATATTCATTGTAATCAGTTTTTTCTCTTCCATGATTATATTTTATATTTAGATTTAACCACTCTCGTGGGTCTTGATTCACGCTGATCTTTAATATC